ATGTGTATACATGTATATGCATGTGTGTGTGTATATATGTGTGTCTGTGTGTATATATATGTTATAAAGCATATTAATACCATAAGAATCTGTGAATCTATTACCCAATGTAAGAAGTGGAGCATGACAACTGTAGTACACATGATTTTTACTATATTTGTATTTTATTCTATTTTCCTTTAAGAGATAACACTATTTGAAGTTATATTCAACATTTCCTTTACTTTTTAAGTGAAGGGGTGGACGATGATCCTATTATCCTGCCCCGGCACACCTGTGGGCATTTCTTGTTAGGTGGAACATTAAGAAAAGAAATGAGACACAGAGACAAAGTATAGAGAAAGAAAAAGTGGGCCCAGGGGACCGGTGTTCAGCATACAGAGGACCCGCGCGGGCACCAGCCTCTGAGTTCCCTCAGTTATTTATTGATCATTATCTTTACCATCTTAGAAAAAGGGAAGTGGCAGGATAATAGGATCATCATAGGGAGAAGGTCAGCAGTAAGACATGTGAATAAAGATCTCTGTGACATAAGTTTAAGGAAAAGTGCTGTGCCTTAATATGCATATGCAAACATCTCTATAAACCTTTTTAGTGCATAAAGAGCAGCATTGTGCTAGCAAGTCCCACCTTTCGCCCTAAGGCGGTTTTCTCCTTTCTCAGTAAACAGAACATACAATCGGGTTTTACACCCAGATGTTCCATTGCCCAGGGATGGGCAGGTGACAGATGCTTTCCTCTATCTCAACTGCCAAGAGGCCTTCTTTCCTCTTGTACTAGTTCTCCTGAGCACAGACCCTTCACAGGTGTCAGGCTAGGGGACGATTAGGTCTTTCCCTTCCCACGAGGCCATATTTCAGACTATCACATGGGGAGAAACCTTGGACAATACCTAGCTTTCCTAGGCAGAGGTCCCTGCGACCTTTGGCAGTATACGTGTCCCTGGGTACTTGAGATTAAGAGAATGGTGATGACTTTTCACCAGCATAGTGCCTTCAGGCACTTGTTTAACAAAGCACACCCTGCACAGCCCAAAATCTTTTAAACCTTGAGTCACTACAGCACATGTCTTTTGCAAGGACAAGGTTGGGGGTAGGGTCACAGATTAACAGCATCTCAAATACAGAACAAAATGGAGTCTCTTATGTCTACTTCTTTCTATATAGACACAGTAACAGTCTGATCTTTCTTTCTTTACTCCACATTAAGAAACTTTTAAGATTTTAATTAGTTATAATTTCTAGGAAGTTGCAAAGAAACATACAGAGAGATGCTGTGTACCCTTCACCCAGCTTCACCCAAATTTAACATCTTGCATAACTGCAGTACCTGATTATGAAAAGCAGGAAACTGACCTTGGTACAACCCACAGAGTTATTTGGTTACACGTGCACTCGTTTGTGTGTATATGTCATTTTATCATATGTATATTTCTGTGAAACTCCCATCACAACTAAGATATTTAACTTATTAAATAATATGCCAGGCAGAGTGATTGTTTCACATTTTTATATAGATGAGGAGTGTTTTAAAACATTTATTTTCTTTCTGAAACTTTTCCATCTTTGTCACTTACAATTGAATTTGTTTTCCTCAGTGATACTTGTATTTGAGGGTTTTCAATGAATAATAATTTCATTGAATAATTACAGTGAATAATAATTTATTTCACAAAAAGACGTCATAGCGCACACAGTATGAATTTATCAATATTAAAAGACACTTTGAATAACTGACATCAATAATGTATTTTTAAAACTCACATGTATACTCTTATGTTTTACACTTAAATTTAAATTCCTAGGTCAAAAATGAAGTTCGACTTCTGCTTCTGAGAAAACTGGAGTAGAAGCAGTTTTGCTTCTTCCTCCCACTTAAATGCAACTTAATATCTTGGACATCACATAGAGAAAAACATATAAAGACCTAGAAAGGGAGAGAGAAGACGGCCCACTCTTAGGGAGCTCAGAACTGGGAAGGACATGGTGTGGCAAGAGCCCCTGGTATTTCTTATTTGCCTCATATATTCAGGTTGGATAGAAACTTAAAATCTCTCCTTTCTTCTAGTTCCTTGTTAAGTAATACATTGATTAACCTACCATTTTTAGATTTTTATTTACTTCATTAGCTGTAGTGAACTCTTCTTTGGACTGTCTGTGTTTTGGTTTGAGGTTTTTATTTGATTTCTTCATTTCCCTCACGGTGTTACATTAAAGCCTCTGCAGAGGTCCCAATTAGGAGCTGAGTTTTGTGGCTTGCACTTGTAATCCCAGCTACTTGGGCAGTTGAGGCAAGAGGATCACTGGAGCCAAGGAGTTAGAGGCTGCAGTGAGTTATGCACTGAGTGTTGCACCCACTGCACTCCAGTCTGGATGACAGAGTGAGACCCCATCTGTAAAATAATAAAAAAATTCGTGGAATTAAGGGTGGTAAAAATGTAAACAGAAGACTCATCTAGCTAGACTCATCGAGCTTCCTTTCCCTTTTTGCTCTTCATATTTGCACCTGGGGCTGTAAGAGTGGTACTTTGAACATTGTATTCTAGTTCTAATGTCCGCTCACCTCTGTGGTTATAGAGACTAGTAGTAGACCGGCCTCAGTGAGGATAGCCTGTTGTTCTTTAACTAATGTTCCTACTTTCACACCTCAATATTGGTCCTGTGGTACAAGGTTACATTTTTTTTAATTCAAGAGGCTTAATGTATATTTATTATTTCATAGATAAAATCCATCAAATACATCTATATAAAATAATAAATAAATGGAGAAAAACAGATTAGTCTAAAATTATTTCACATAAAATAACTAAGGAAACAACCTGTGAAAACACTTAAAGATATGATAATTATTCCAATGCAATTAACATTATTTTGACACACTATCTAATTCTGAACTCCTTATCATATAAATTTAAAAAAATATGGAATCACATGCATGACATGTGGGGATACAGTAATAACAGAGTGAGGCATGAGACTTAACTCGTGTATTGGTTATGTATTGTTGCATAAAAACATGTAGCAAACTTAGTCATTTAAAACAGTACTCCTTTGTTTCCTCATGGTTTCCATAGTTAGAAGTGCAGGCACGACATATGCAGATTGATTCTATGCATAGTCTCACAAGGCTACAATCATAGTGTCATTCAGGCTGTGTTCGCATCTGGAACTCCGGGGTTCTACCAGACTTGCTTAGGTTTGTGGCAGAATCCGGTTCTTTGCATTTCTAGGACTGAGGTCCCCACATTCTTGCTGCATGCTGGCCAAGGGCTGCTCCAGGTTCCTAGTGGCCGCCTCCTGGAGGACTTGGGTATGCAACCATCTCCACAGGGCAGCTTCCCTCTTCCAAAAGCACGGGAGAATCTGTCCCAGCCTGAACCTCTGATCCTTTGTAGGAGCTCCCACCTGATCAAGTCTGGCCACCCACTATAATCTCCTTCAAACTGATTAACTCAAAATTGACTGATTTGGGAGATGACAGCCACATAATCCCTCCACTTTTGTCATCTGATAGAATCTCATCACAGGAGTGAAATCCACAACTGCCACAAGTCCAGTCCGCAGCCAAGGAGCATTTTAGGGGCAAGAATCTGGGGGCCATCTGTATTAGGGTTTTCTAGAGAGACAGGACTAATAGGAAATATATATGTATATTACATATATATATATATATAATGGGAGTTTATTAAGTAGTATTAACTCACACAATCACAATGTCCCACAATAGGCTGCCTGCCAACTGAGGAGCAAGAAAACCAGTTTGAGTCCCAAAGCTGAAGAATCTTGGGTCGGATGCTCAAGGGCAGGAAGCATCTGGCACAGGAGAAAGATGTAGACTGGGAGACTAAGTCGGTCTACTCTTTTCTTGGTGTTCTTCCTGCTTCATATCTTGGCAACACTGGCAGCTGATTAGATTGTGCCCACCCAGATTAAGGGTGAGTCTGCCTTTCCCAGCCCACTGACTCAAATGTAAACTCCTTTGGCAGCACTCTCAGACACACCCAGGTTCAATGCTTTGCATCCTTCAATCCAATCAAGTTGATACTGAGTGTTAACCATCACACCATCCAAGAATTATTCCTAGCACATCTCACAAGCTTTACTCTAGTTAAGGGTTCTCAGCTTAGCTATGTTTCAGATTTTGAGGGAGCTTCTTTAAAATGCATATTTGTAGGCCTCTATCTGAATCTGATTCAGATTCAGAATTGAACCCTCTCTCCTCAGTTATAAATATATTATTATTTTCAATAAGCTATAGAAGCAACACTTATGCAGCCAGCTTCATCACCCTGGGACTTCTGATAACCACTTCTCTATTAAATATAGACATCTCACCTGCATTTCATTTATTAAAGTACAGTATTTTCAGAACTACAGTTGAGTTCATGAGGGGCCAAGTAACATAAATGGAATCATTAAAAACTAAATGACAAAGGCAGAAGCATCTCTCTAGCCTCTGGAATTAGCAATCTGTTGTTCAAGCCTTCAATGTTTTAAGGGATCAGCCTGCCCCCCCCCACAATAAAACTGAGTTAATAGCTAAGTTTCATAAAAAAGTTATCACTTCTTGGCATTAAATCAATAGACTATTCCTCATGATGAAGGCTTTTACATATTATCACTAATTTAAACTTGGAGTCTCATTCTAAATTTGGATCCAAGTGCTACCTACTGGCAGATGAAATTTTGGGCAGATTGCCAAATATCCTCTGGTACTCCTTTTGAAGTCAATTTCCCCAAAGTGTGTTCTACAGAACTTAATCTTGTGACATTAGTCATTTGGAAAATATTACCTCGCTTCCTCTCTTGATAATTTATAGGGATTTGAGCTATTCCTAGAAATTGACAAGAAAGTGTGGAAAATTGTGTATGATTTGAGTGTAAATAGCAGGCTTGTCTTCCTCATGGGGAAAGTAGATACGTTTCAGTGTGTAGAATTCATCACTTCTATTTTTGAATGCTCATAGGACTTATACATATTTTTTTAATTTCTGCATCTAGACTGCTCTCCAGAATGTTGAGATTGCCCGAGAAGTGACCCCAGCAAAAGAAAAATATTGCTCTACCTGAATTCAAGTAAGACCATTACTTTGCAGTAATGTATCATGCGTAAATTAGTGGAAAAAAATCAACTGTATTTGTCTACACTTCTAAGAGACAATTGTTTTCTTTGATATTAATCTTTTTGAAGCCTCTTTCTCTGTTCTTGAAAATTGACATAGAAAACAAAACCTCTTGTTATGGAAGGAGTAGAAATATTCAGAAATATCTCAATGTTTAATTGCAGTTACACAGCATTTAGATGTGTCTTTCCACAATATTTATTTAAACAGCTATGTTGATTTGTGTTGTTTCTTTAATAAATACTATTTATAGGAATTAGAAAAATAATTGAGTTTTTCTAAAACACCCTTTATTAGGTGAAGGGTCAGTGTCTCCTCATGAAGATGGTAACTGGAGTTACACATTTCAGTGAGGTGTGATTTCCTAAGAAGTAGACACTCAACGAGCAGGGGGCAGGGGGCGGTGCTTGGCAGAGTGACTATGGACTGTCACGTTCTCTTTTGTTTGTTCAGAGGAATGAGTGAATGAGGTGAAATTAGTACAATGAATCAAATTCCTTCAGGAAGGGAGTGTGAGTCAGCTTGTATGATGCAGGTGGATCAATGACCTTCTAGTAGAATAAGTGTTACTTTAGGAAGGAATCATACACTATTTGTTGGAAGGAGGTGAACCTGGCTAGAAAAGGTTAGGATTGAAGTCACTAAATCTGTTTCTATAATAAGTTGTCACAGTATTTTTGACAGCTTATGTCCTGGCAGTCCAAGGACTTATAGTATGGTTTTAGTAAGAATCATCAAACTCACTGATATCTGTTAAGTTTCAATGAGTGCCAGTACTGAAAAGTATATTGTGTGCATATTTATGTATTCAATTATATTTAAATGTAGTATAGAAGTGGCGAGAATCTTTGAGTGTATCATGTGTTATAAAAACCATGAAATTTTATAACTATGTAGCCACGCAGATTGTCTATTATAAGAGATTTCTAGGCTGGGTTTTCAAGGACTATGGCAAGTTCAGAGGCACTGGGGATTAGGCAATTAGGCCTCAAAGTTATCCCGTTTGCTACCTATTCTGTTAGACGTGGAAGTCACATTGTGCTATTTCTTGTCGTGGAATGTACATGGGAATGGGTTGCTCATAGATTGATTTCCCTCACCCAATCTGACCCTAAAATTATTCAGGTAGATTTTTAAACAATTATCTTCTTAAAAAATTTTACTTTAAGTTCTGTGATACATGCACAGAACATGCAGTTTTGTTACGTAGGTATACATGTACCATGGTGGTTTGCTGCACCTATCAACCCATGATCTAGCTTTTAAGCCCCGCATGCAGTAGGTATTTGTCCTAATGCTCTCCGTCCCCTTGGCCCCAACCCCAACTCCCAACAGGCCCTGGTGTGTGATGTTCCCCTCCCTGTGTCCACGTGTTCTCGTTATTGAGCTCTCACACGTGAGAATATGTGGTGTTTGGTTTTCTGTTCTTGTGTTAGTTTGCTGAGAATGATGGCTTCCAGCTTCATCCACGTCCCTGCAAAGGACATGAACTCATTCTTTTTTTATGCCAGCATAGTATTCCATGATGTATATGTACCACATTTTCTTTATGCAATCTATCACTAATGGATGTTTTGGTTGGTTCCAAGTCTTTGCTATTGTGAATAGTGCTGCAATACACATATGTCCGCATGTGTCTCTACAATAGAATGATTTGTAATCCTTTGGGGATACACCCAGTAATGGGATTGTTGGGTCAAATGGTATTTCTGGTTCTAGATCCTTGAGGAATCACCACACTGTCTTCCACAATGGTTGAACTAATTTACACTCCCACCAACAGTGTAAAAGCATTAAACAATTATCTTTAAATTAAACAGTGTATTTTCATCATTCATGTAAACTCAGAAATTTCCAAAGCACATTTTCTACAAAGCAAAAAGAACCCTTTCTAATGCATTATAAATGCCATTATATATCCAAAGTTTTCAAGTTATTTTTCATTGCTAGACCTTTTTTCGTAGTTAAATATGTGCTTCACATAAAACCTCATAGGGGAGTCCAACAGACAAAAGAGGGAAAAAGAAGCATTTTAATGGAAGCAGCAGTGAGTGATCTAGAACTTGGCTGCTCTGTCACTGCCTTCATTTCTTCTAAATCCATTCCCATTCCCCAAACCTCCAGACTAGATGAATATTAATATTTCTTTGAGTCCTGTGATTCCCTGGTTTTTCAATTCTTAATTTGGAAGCACTTGTGGAAGAATCAATTGAAGGGCACAGAGAGCAAAGGATGGAAGCTGAAACTTCCAGAATTATTCTGGGCTAGCCATCAGTGGCTAAGCTGTTGCTATGCAAGAGGGGATCATTTATTCCCTTCTTAGAATTTCCAAGTGTCAGGGGCCGCTCTGCATGCTTTCACACCACTGCTGTGCAAAGATTTCAAAGTATCATGCACAGCAAATCCTGACTAAAGCCCAATAAGAGTACAGGTTATACATGAAGAAATGGAGAAAGGCAGTTGTAAGGAAAATAATGGAAATTCACTTGAGGGCAGCTATTCCCATTCTCAAACTATCTTCTTCTGACAATCCTGAAAAGTGTTAATATTTTGTTATTTTTCAAAAATATGGCTGGATGCATTTCAAGCCATCCTCTTTCTTCTTAAATATATCTCTTTGCCTCTTCATGTTTAATTCATGCTCATATTTGCCCACATTTAAAGCTAGGCTGACTTCACATTGGAGTTGAAAATAGCCCCAGGAGCATAAGGAACCCTGAGAGCTTGAGTGTCCTTAAGTGTCACAGCTGGGTCCCTGCCCCTTTGTGCTTGCTGCCCTTTCTACCTGGCTAGAGGCAGCCCCAGGCTTTCTGGGTATTTTAAAATTACTGTAACAAGAGTATTATAATAAAAATACTTAATATTTTAATACATAGAATTTTATTTATTTATTTATTTATTTTTATTTTTTAATTTTTTTTGCTATTGCTGCTTTTGTGTGCTTTGGGGATGTCTGAGGCCTCTGCCCTTGTACTTCAATTGGTCCTTCTGCGGTGGCCTGCCCCTCTTTGTGTCACAAGCTGCAGCTGCTGACAGGATGCAACTTCTATTGGCCCATGTGCCGCCAGAATCATTGTTCAAGTTCTTAGCATTCTTAGGCAAGTTTGTGATTGAAGATGGCTTCACTCGGAAATCATCTCTATTTCTAGTGTTGTCTGTCACAGATAAAATGACACCATGATCAAATGCAAGCAAGCTTAGCATTCAGCCCAGTACTGACTTCATACCCTGGAAAACTTTCTGAATTCATTCTGATTGGGACCCACTGCCCATTTCTCTTGTTTCCTGGATCTGACGGCAAAAGTTTCATGTAGGGAAGGCAGGTAAAGTCCCCAGCCAGTGCACTAATAGCAGTGAGGTTCCCCTAGACTGGAAAAAAACCACACTGACTTGCATTTGTTTGCTTGTTTTATGTTTCCAGGAGAGTTATATGAGAGGGAAGAAACTGTAGTTTCTCCTTGTGATCTCAGGATTAACTGTTGTACCACAATGTATAAGGTCCAAATGAACATTTCAGAAAAATTGATCAACTGAAGGGAACATTTCTGTAGCTCCATTTTGTGCATTTCAAAGACTCTCTTAGTTGAGGAAAGTCTAGCTACACTTAAAAATATTCCCTTTTATTGTTAGTATTGTCTACCCTAGTGGTATGAGGGTACTTCTGGAAGTTCTCAAGTTCTCAGAATTGCTTTTCCTCTTGGGCAGATTAATCTAGGTTGCTTTAGTTTGGTGATTCCATCTCTCCCTGTTCAGTCAAGAGAAGGTGGGACCATGGTGTGCAGGGAAAGGCCATTGGCATCCTCTCAGGACTAAAAGTGTGGGCCTGTATTTGTGTCTGTCTGTGAAGTAGAGTCACAGGAAAATCTTTAGGTCACCATCAGACACATTTGGTAATACAAGGAAAAACAAACAAGTTTCAAAACTTATTCTCATAAATCTTGTTGTGTTAAATGCTGCTTATACTATAAAAGCTGCAGAACAGAGTTGCAGAAGCTCTGGAGCATGGCAGCTGAAATGGTGGAGAGAGGCACTGTCTTCCTGTGAGTGTGGGACCCTCTTGTTCATATGACTTTCCACATCTGCTCAGTCCTGCCTTCTTTCCAAATTTCAGGAGTTTTCCTTGCCTTCAGGCTGGAATACCCCTAGTGATGGTTCTCACTACCCCATGGTTACCATGTGTCAGCTGCAGTCAGTGTCTCATTCCTGAACTTGCCTGCTTGCCTCCCTCTGTCCTGGATGCAAAAGCCAATCTTCACTTCAGCATCAACTATTCCCATGGAGGAGCTGTCACAGCTGTGCAGTGTCTGCCCCAACCCCGCAGAACACACAGAGACCTTGCTTTGCTCAGAGAGGTTGGTTACATCCAGCAAAAAGCTCAGGGGCAAATGTTAAGAGGCAAACATTGACAAGTGAAACAGGAGTGGGCTGGCTTCATGGAAACAAAAACTTACTTAGCCTTATAGGTCCCCTGCATATACAGCCCCACACTTAGTTGAATGCTCTGACCTCTTTAACGCATGTTTGTTTTAATTTGCATACAGTCATATGAGTGCTTCGTGTTGTAGTGCTCTATGGGTCTTGACAAATGCATAATATCATGGAACCATCATTACAGTGTCACACAGAGGAGTTTCACCACCCAAAAATATTCCCTGTGCTTCTCTTATTTAACTCTCCTCATTCCTGAACCCCTGTAAACCACTGATCTTTTCACTGTCTCTACCGTTTTGCCTTTTCCCAGTTGTCACATAATTGGAATCCTATAGTAGATAGCCTGTTTCCTTCACTTAACAATATGCATTTTAGATTCATCTATGTCTCTTGGTGGTTTGATAGGTGATTTGTTTCCTAATAATATGCCATTCTGTGGTATACCCCGATTTATTTATTCATTCATCTTCTGAAGGCAGTTAGAAATAAAGCTGCAACAAAAATATTCAGACCTTACATAAG